GGAGGAAAGAAACTGGCTTTGTATTTGCTTGCTTCTCTGCTTTGTTTCATCCTGGAACAAAGAGAAACAATGAAAGGAAATGTGTCAAAGGCATTTTAACAGCAAAAAAAACCTTTGTATACTTTTTTTTTTTAATTGGATGGTTATAAAATCTTTTAATGATGTAAAAAGCAAGCGAGCAGCTTTCATGAATGTTGTCATAAAATAATTTGATAAAATAAACTGTAAAAATAAAAAATACTGATTACTGTTGAATGCTATGTTCTGTATGTCTGAAGCATAGTTAGAAGGCACAAAGACATTTTTCAACTCAAATGTTTACAGCGTAAACAAAAAAATCTTTCTGTAGTGTTTACTTGCCTTTTTTTTTTTTTTTCTACTTAAGTATTTTTGAAAGTATGTAAAATCTTCAGATGCCAGTTCTGCAGGAAATAGTCTGGTTTCAAGTGTGTAAGCTGACTAAGATCACATGCTGAGGAGCTTGCTGAAATTGCCTGTTAACAAACTGTTGCAGTAAGTATAAGTATGTGTAAAACCTGCCATGGGAGAGGATGTGTTGAGAAAAAGTGTGATCCCTCTGTCCCTAGGTCTTACAACACTTTGTGCTCAATCTAAAGGATACAAAAATGGAATAAACAATAAAAGGATAAAAAATCAAATGCTAGACACTTGTATCTTGATAGAATAGAGGGCATGAGAGAAAATCAGTCCTGAAAGGTGATCACAGGGCTCTTTAACATACCACAGTTGCCAGGATGGAAACCAATGGGCTAACGTTTGCAGTTCATATGAAAAGTGAGGCCACACATGCAAGAGAAACACAGGGAATAATTATTGGTGTTGGTAGTCATCAAAATGAGGATGCCTTGTGACCTTGACCTAGATTTTAAGCTGTGGCTATTGGCTGGAAATACAGAATTTTGCAATGTCTATGAAGGGAAAACATGTGTCATACACCACCAAGGAGAAAAGCATGAAGTTGGTGTTGTTGAATATTATTGCAAGGTATGAAACCATCTGAACAGGAAAGACTGTGAAGTTTCCAGCCAAGACACAAAAAAAGAAAACTTGTGTTAATAGCATGAGTGCCAGGAATTAGTCATCAGTGTGGACTAAGTAGGTATGTGCATTGTGTACAGGAATGTAGAAAAATTATCTTCTGTATTTGGGATATCTCAGCTTGTTGAATGGAGTATAATTAATGTCTATGGCCCAAACTGTAAGGTAAAATTGATTTTGGCTAGTTTTGTTATAGTAAGTAAGCAATCACTTCTGGGGAAAACAAAAACAAAAACAACAAACAACTAGCTATATCCTGCAGGAATAGAAAACTGTTGAAGCAGAACATGTAAGTGTGGATTGGATGATGACAAGTTCTTGTGGAGGAACCACTGCCAGTACTGCAGAGTAAGCTGTTTCTACCAGGAGCAGCAGGGAATGCTTACTTAGGTGCATTACCTTCATTTCTTAGATAGCGAAGAAAATTATGTAGAGTGCTGTGCAAGCTCTGTCATGCAGCTAGGTATAAGTTCTGGGCAAAACTAAACATTGTCACTGCTGTAGAATGCTGTCTCTGTGTTGATTGTGCATTTACGGTTTTTTTTCCCCTGGTGCAGAGGGGGCTGGTTAAGGAATTGTTTAATATGCAGAATGCTTGAAGTTTGTTTTCAGTTTCAGTAAGATGAAGGGTAGTGCTTACTGTGCATCAGGTATCTGAGATGAAAGAAGGGTGCTGAACTTTGTAATTAGCATCCCCTCAGTCCGTACTGAAAAGCTTGAAAAAGCTGCATGTTGGAACTGGAACATATAATGAATTTTAAGTTGCAGTTTTGTTTCTGTGAGTTTCATCTCCTGAAAGATGCAGTCTCTGACCCTGGAAGAATATTGAGGAGCCACACGAGGATTGTTGATGCAGCCTGCTGTGCTTAGTTCCTTGAATTATACTGTATAGGTTCACAAATACTTTGTGGAATTAGATTGTCAGAAGTTCGGATGTATAAAAGTGTCTTTAATGTAGTGCCTATGAAAAAGCTCATGCTGTATAGACATAAAATAATTTACTTTATATTTAAACATATATTTGAATATATTCTTTTATCATTTGTTTCGCTTCCCTGAGTAAGGGTGCATTTCTAAATCAAGATGCAAGATATGATAAGATGTAATTGATGTGGGAAGCTGCATGTTCTCACGTGATAGCCAAGAGTGCTGTTTGTTACATGTAACATCTAATTTTCAGCCTCACCTCTGCCAGTAGAATTTTTCTTACTCTAAACCATATTTGGAGCATTTATAGCACAGTAAATACTGAGGTTTGCAAAAAGGTATTCCAAGGTTTTCTAAGCAGTGTGTATTTGATGCACATGTGTGTAAATTTATCTTAGTTTGGTGTGGAAAGCAGAGTGTGGGGGTGGTGTGTTTGCTTTGTCTCTCTTAATGAGGTGGCTGTTTCTGTGCAATTGCTGCTGGATCACTGCTGGCAAGAAATTCAGAAATTCTCTTAAGGATGTGCTGATATTCTTGCAGGTTTGTTTATAAGATAAACAGAAGTTACCTATTTGAGTTACTTATGTTAATTCTAGGATGCCAAAAGTCTCGTTTCCATATGTGAATGCTAAGTTTGGAACCATGGCCATGGAGGTTAAATTTCAGGTACCAGCTGTTATTGCTGCAGGAAGGAAATGCAAAACTCTTTCTCTGTTCATTAGGATTATTGAAAATGCCAGGTGGAACTGTGTAAAATCATTGGGAACTTGTGAACAGTTGAGTTAATACACAGGGTTTTTTCCCCATTCTTCCTATGATGTAAGACATTTATACTTGTCATTTTAAGAAAGCAACTTCAGGAATTATTTTATCCTGAATAGGCATAATTTGCATCTGACATTTAGGAACCTCTCCAAAGAAGTTTAGATATGAAAGCATGTGCTTGAAAAAAACAGGTGCTTCGAGGTAGTCTGTCCAGGCTTTTTATTTATTTATTTAAGAGGTTGGATGGAGGTTGACATTGACAGCTGGTTTATTATCTTCCTATTTTATGACTAATCCTGTCATCACGTGTAGCTGCATTTAGATTGACTAACCCAGGTGTGCTGCAGGACAGAAGAGAAGTGAAAGCAAAATCCAAATTCATGGCTTGAATTGGGGATCACATTCTTGGCACTACACTCATTTTGAGCTTTATCTTCCCTAGCTTTCTGTATTTCATGATTTCTGTTCTGCAGTAATTTCAGTGCTTTGAAATAATAGCCAAAATTTGCATAGCCATGAAGCATGTAGTCTAAACATCTTTTTATGCAAAAGTGCATAAAAAGTAAATACTTTCATGTTGAAGGACTCCTAGGAAATATATGTGTTTTAGATGGAAAAATTATTTAATTGTTATTCTTTTCTTCTTACTTTCCTGCTATTATTACTAATGCTGTATTTCAGGGGTCTTTGTTTCTCGGTGTCCATGACTAGCTTATGTTATTCAGATAGCAGAATACATTTCAGAAGTAAGGTTGCTCCCACAGCCAGAAGCCTGGGTTACTTAGGAGGCACTGTTGGCTGTGCTGTGTGCTGGAGCTCAGGAGCTGTGCTTGGACTGTACGTCTTCAAGTTGCTTGAGGCCTTCACAAGGGCCCTTAATAATGAGAAACAACAACAACAAACCTGCATTTCTTCCCCTTGATTTCGACAAAGAGAAATGACTGTGTAGTTAGAGCTGCTCTTTGTGCCAGATGGACTGTTACAGTAATGCAAGCATTGCACATGAACATGTAGAGCCAAAAGGCTTTCTGAGCTTTACAGAAACTATGGAACAGCAAGACAGTTTCTGGATGGAAGTATTTTCATATCACAAAATTACTCATGTCACTGGCACCCTTACCAGCCTTTCTTTGTGAAAAACAAACAAACCAGCAAGTACTTGCCTTCTCACCCACACTGCTCAGATCAGAACTGATGATGGGAAAGCACAGAGCAGAGAAGCTGGCACTGCTCCCAGTGCATCTGCTTACTAGATAAAGAAGACTTTTAGGGATCTCAGTCTGCTTTTTTTCACTTCTGCCTTTGATTCACCTCATGGCATTTATTAAAGTATTTATTGCCTTTCTTTTGGAGTGATTTTGGGGGTTAAAATCTATGGGATTTGTTTTCAAAAATTAGGCTCAACAAAGATGGGCTATCAGTCTGAACTTTGAATTTCTTACTTACTGCCAGTTTGAATCATACCATAAACACTATTTAAAGATTTTGTTTTTCGTATTTCTTTTCCACATCCTTGACCCTGACTGGTAAGCTGGACATTTGTGTTTGCCTTGGCAAGCTCCAAGCTGCTCATCTAGGGCAGGATGAAAACTCTTTTTTCCTTTCGTAAACAAACTGTTCCTTCAGTATTTTCCATAAGGATTTACACCACCATTTTGCAACGCTTCTAGGAATTGAAAAAATCCTGCCATTCAGAGTTTTCATTTTATGGTTTGTAACACTGCAGAGAAATATTTGAGCAATTGCTTTCTGGGGTTGGATTTTAAGAGATTTTTTCAGAACGTTTTCAAATTCCAGAAACATTACATTTTGTCATAAGGATTTTTATTAAAATTATAGTTATTTTTTTCTATTAACTATTCAATGTTGCTGTGTTGAACTCTGAATTTTTTTAGAAGGATTTGAAAGATATTGAAGGAATATCTTCCTATTGGTGGCAGGTTTTGCTGGCAAAGGTGAACTTTTCTGTTCAAGTGATCAGAACCAAGTAGTTCAGAGCCAGATCTAGCTCAAAGCTTTGTATCCATGTTCTTCCTGATCACAGGCTACTACAAGCCTTTACTGAGTGGAAGGAGAGTATTTACCATGAACTAAACCTCCAAAAAATCATAAAAAGCCATTGGTTCTAGTCAACAGTCTTTTAAATAGTAATACTCTTTCTTTCAAATAGTAATACTAATTTTATAAAGGCATATTAAAAGTGCATTTTAACTGCACAAACTAAAATTACACTTCCTTTTTTGTTGCAGATCTGGGACATGAGTGATGATGAAACAGTCTGAAAATCAGCTGAATAAGGTGGAAGATGACCTACTTTAAACTGCATTGCTGCCTTTTATCTGTTATTCGACAAGTTAATGATTGCTTACCCATTCTAACTGCAATGAATATGAACGATTGTAAACCACATACTGGCATGAATATCTTCACTGTGAAAGCAGTCTTTTCTGGATATAACTCTCCGTATTTTCATTTTTATTATGTAAATAACCAAAATAACGTGGTTATGTTTAAATCTTATTCCTTTTTTTTCCCCCATTTTCTTAATAAGACATGTATAAAATTCACTGCTTAAGTAAACTTTGGTATTTCATTTTTTTATTTTACTTGTCAGCAGACATGTCTGAGTAGCTTGTCTAAATGTTTTTTCTTCATCTTTCCAACACTTGTGCACCTTTAAGTAGAGTTCGTTATTAAGACTGAGAATATTCTCCTGTTGGGAAATAAACTGCATCTTTACCTATGGGAGAGCAGGAGTAGGGTAAAAACCTACCCTTACAGTGTATGTCACATTGCTTTCTAGTTCAAAGTACATATTTGTAGTGCAATTGATTCCCTTTTCTTTATTATAGTATAATTGTTCTTACCTGTGCCAACAGAGAAATTATTCTCTGTAAAGATTTCATAATTTCATTCTATGGAAGAAATGTGGTTTGACTTATATTTACACAGGGAAGACCAAAATGGATCTGTATCATACTTATGCTCTGCTGAAGTTTAGAGAATGTTCTGCTATGTAGTAAAAATTGCTTTGAGGATGAATCATTGATTCATTAAAAACTTGTAGTTAAATGTATTACTAAAATAAGAAATTGATTTTCTAACTGTGCCATTCTTGGTTGCTGTTGTATACTACTGTACAGGTGTTAAACACCGATTCTGATTTTCATTTTGACTGGAATTTAAGTATTTCAATTTCTGCAGCATGAGGAATGGCTTCAGATACTATGGCTGAGACTGTGAGAATCTTTGGGTTCTCAAGGATTTGTAAAAATGGATTTGTAAAATAGCAAAGTAACTTACTACAAAACTGAAAGCAAATCTATTGTTTTTTATCTTGCAATAGGATTTAGAAGTATAATTGAAATTCGTTTTAAGGCTTTATGTTGTGGAGACTATGGACTAACCTGCTCAGAAAAGATGGCAGAATTGCTTTTTGTGGCAAACAGTCTTTATTTCTATTATACGTTATGAAAATGATTGACCAACTAGTCAATCCAATTAATTTAGCTTGGTTTACATAAGCTCTGAATATCCAGTGCAGATAATTTCACTGCTTCTCTCTTAGGCCACATCAGAGGATGTTCTGTCAGGTCAAATTCACCTTAAAAGAAAGGATATCTGCAGGTCCTATACTCCCATCATAAAAGAAGACTCACTGAAACATGTTGAGGTTAGCATTAGTTGTTTTGTGTATTTCTTTTTGTGATCACTAAAGTAGCTTTAAGCTTTAATGTCCTGTCTAGCTAACTTCATTGTAATGTATATATCTGAATTAAATATATTTTTTTAATAGCAAACTGATCTTTTGGTGGTCGGGTAACGATCAGTAAGATCGATAACATGTGATATACATTTTTAAGTAGTTTATAAACTAGAATTACCTTTGAGCTGTATGATTTGCATTCTGTAGTTCTTTTAAATCGTGTATTGGTACTGGCTAGTTTAAAGGGAAAGACCTGCATTTTTATCTTTTGAAACTGCTGTGTGTAAAAGCCTTCTGCGGTCTTTGATTGTCTGAAAATTTAAAATTAGACATCTTTCTAAAAATCTAATGAACACTAATAGTTACTTTAAGTATCTGAACTTCAATTACCTGTTAAAGTAACTTTCAGGTTAAAGATGCAGTGTATCTATTTAATTGCAGCAGTATGCAAGATCTAAAACTTGGAACTCAGAGTTAATATGGTGTTTCCTTACCTCTCTAATTTCAGTAGCATATAGTTCTGAGGCTGAGCTGCTTGCTGCCATATGCTTCCCAGATGTCCTTGATGTTCTGAAGCACTTCAGTGTGTCTCAGAATAACTTCCGTTGTCCAACTTTAATGTTGTTTTCTTCCTACTTGTGGAACAAAATGGTTCTTATTCGGCTTTTATTCAATTTCTAGGCATTAATTGAGTAAGAAATCAGAAGAATACATAGAAATGAAATGCTATGAACATTCCCATTACTGTTCAAATTCAAATACCATTATCAGATAAGCACATTAATTTACTGGCCTATAGGTACTTAATGGAAGGTTTTTGGCACTGCCCTTTCAACTGCAGATACTGGTGTTTAATTGAAGTTAAACTTTGACCTTTCTTCACTTGCTTTCAGTCTGGTGTTAAATCCTCTTTACCAATTGTAGCCTATCAATCTGGAATAAATTCCACTCAAGGCATGCCCTTTGTATTAGATGTAAATTGATAGTAAAATTTTACCCAGTATGTGGTTTGGCCAGTGTGAGAATCTGCTCCATGGAGCATGGGATAGCTTGAGTCTGAAGCCTTCAGCATTGGGTTCTAAAAGGGAGAAAGGGCACAAGTGTGTAAATTACACTTAGACCCATGCAGAAAGATTCATGATGGCCCAGATCATTTGGTATAGAAATTCACCAAGGAATGGAACCATAGGATTTTTACTCCTAGAAAGCTGACTACTCCCAAGAAATAAAGGAGGATTCTGCTTCAGTAGAGATCAACAGCATGAACTGTTGTCAAGTGGAATTCTAGTAATTGCTGCAGCCCTTATAACCATTGAGCTTCAGTCTGGAAAAAAATGTTCCTTCCTTGTGCTCTGAATGGCTTTGGTATTACATCCTTAGGGAACTCCAGTGAGATGGATGGAAATTTCATTTTTACCATCAGTACTATTGTTCTACTGCCTGTATAATGTTCTCTTTTATAGGTTTGGCTACTTACCTTAAATACATGCAGTAGAAGTCATAGCAAAGTTGAATTTTTTTCAATGTATAAGTGGTTTCTTTTAGTTTCTCACCTGTCATTTGTAATTTTTCTCCTTTTAATTTCTCATAGTCAAAGAAAACTCTTACTGGTAGAGTTTTTGTTTCTGTACTTTTTATTATGCTATTATTTAGCATTCTGTGATTTAGAGTCACATGATAGCACTTCTGTTTCTTCCTCTTACTGAGTGTATGCTAACTATTCTGATTGGAATTGCTAATACCTAGTTCATCCTTGCATTCCTCTGGGTCGTTTGACTGAAGAGTTCACCGAGTTCCCAACTTTTCTTTAAGTTTTCTTCCTCTTTTTCAAGACAGATTTTAAAAAATGTCAGCTGAGTAGCGACTGAAAGTAGACTTTGGTTTTCAGGATTTCCATTCATGTCAACTATATGTGAAAAGATCACTAAGCTTCTGATGCCAGTCAAGTTTGCTTGTTTCTTACAGTACCGATGAGCCATTACTGAATCCATAAGGATATTCGTATATGGTTTCTATTCAGAGCATATCCACATCTTAAAAGTTCAAGGAGAGTCCTAATTTTCTTTCTATGAGAAGAGGGAGGACAGCTCACATTCTTTCAATACTACATATGTTGCAAGCTAGCACACAGTCAGACTTTTTTTGTTGTTCTTCTAGTTGAAGGTATCTCTATTCTGCACTGCAAGTCCAGCCAGTTCTCTAACACAGTGCTAATAGCCATTCTCTTCTCCGTTGGTTCAGCGTTGGCATTGAAAGTACACAAAAGCTGGAAAGAACATGCAGCTGGATGGAAGGATTTTTTCTTACTACTTTTCCAAATTTTTACACCTCATTTTTTAGGTTTGTTGTTGTTGTTGTTAGTTTGCTTTCTTGCTTGTTTGTTTTTAAGTAATAATGCAATATTTGCAATACTTCACTTAGAAAGAAACAAGCACTTATACTCCAAAGAGAAGCCATCAAAGAAAAATTTGCTACATGGCAAACTTAACAGGCTTCCTAAGGAACATAATCTGGAAGATATCTTGAGCCTGTTGCTATTTTTTTTCCAAATCCATTGACATGGCTTCTTTAATTGTTTTACGTTTTATTCCTTGTTTTAAATTGTTTTCAATGCAAATATTGTGCTCATCATGCATAGCCTACCAAAACAAAACTTTTCTTGTTGGAGGGTTTTGTGCACCTTTTCTCTTTTAGAGGGCCTGGATTAACAGCTGTATAAGGCAGAAATACCACCTAGAAGAACTTCATACTGTTACAGTCTGACTGTATGTAAATTCATAATCTATGAAAAACCTGCCTACCAGTTCCATTCAAATTCCAGATCTCTTTCCCTTAAAGCTCCCTGGATTTTCCCCAGAGCTCTAACAGTGTTTAAAAATACTGTGGCACCACATAGGTAATGCTATGGGTTTGAAATTAGCATAGACATTAGCTCTCTGTTACCACTTCAGCTACCAAAATTTAAAGTTTGTTTCCTTATTTGTGCAGCACTTGACAGGACTTGAAATTAAACAAACAAATAAAACAGCAATCTAGTGACAAAGAATGTTTTCAGTCTCATTTTACTTTTATTGATACCCTTTGGTCCTGTACTACTGACAGCAGTGACTTTTCATGGTGAGTAGTTATTGAGGAATGGAGGGACAGAGGGAATTCTCCTTTGGAATAGCACTAATACTAGGTTGTCTCAGAGAGTTTAACAGTTCCTGCTTTTTCTCTGATTTTTTTTTTTTTTTTTAGTAAGTTCTCATCTGTTACATGTAGAGAAATATAGTATATATGCTTAGCAAAGAGTAGCTATGTTTTTTTTTCTCAGTTATTTCAGACCAAAAGAAATAGTCTGTTGCTCTGACCCATTGTTCTATCGAAGTGTTGCTGAGAGTTGTTTGAAGTCGTGCAGTATTAACCAAAATGGGCTGTGGCTTGGGCTAATCTGTAGCCACTTTACTCTTTAGCACTCAGTGCCGGACTCTTTCTATGCTATTTTATTATTATTATCTATTTGGGGTTGGTTTGAAATTGCTTTATACAGCAGTCTGTATTCCACCAGTCGGTGACTAGTATTTTGTCCATGTTGTAGTGAATTCTTCTGAATGAGTCACTTGAGAACTATATTAACCTAGCCAAGGAAATTGGCTCAGCAGTAGGGAAACTTAAGCTCCTCCCAGAAGAATTAATAGTAATACATTGAAGTAGCAGTGTTGCTGAGTAGCGTTAGGTATTCTCTATCTTAGAGCAACAAATTTTTCATCTCGTTTCCCAATTCAGGTAAATCTCATTCCAGGATAAGGGTAAACATGAGTACTCCAACCATCTATAATTTCAAGTACTGATGGTTGCCCCCCAGTAATCAACAACACTGTCTCTGCCAATTGCAGCTTCACTGTAGCATTTTTTCACATCTCATGGAATTATTTTGGACGTTCTTTGACAAGATTGGCAGAGCTCCTGATAGCTTTTGTCTGAACTTCAAGTACTAAGTGTGTTTTGGTCAGTTTAGTCAGGCCAGGCCTCACCTGCAGTTGCACCTTCTTCCTTCAACTTGGGAATAAAAAGGGGCTGTCAGGATTTCTGGAAGAGATGTGTTGTTTCCTAGCTGGCAGGGAGTATTCACTGTGTTACCATCTGCTATAGAAGTCTAAATGCCTGTTCCAACCTGCTTTTTCAATAGATATTTATATAGGATGTTGATATGAAGTACAAAGAACTTTGCCTCTGTAACTGAAGGTCACATCCATAGTGTTTTACTGCTGCAAATAAAAAGTATGTTTTTTTTTCAGTCATTCTTTTTAACTTCCCTCCTTTCCCATACAGTTACTTTCTGCTATTAAGTTGTTTGGCAGTGGATTGCTGCTTCAGCAGCCTTGGAGCATTCAATAATTCAGGCTTATTTGCTTTTCAGCACCAGACACTTGATTTTTGTTTGATCACACCAGAATAATTCATTTTTTTTAATTTACTAGTGAAATGATCTTATTCACTACATAAAAACAAACAGGAGGCATTATTCTTTCTCACTGAGGAAGCCACTAATGTTTTCCTCACTTGCTCTTTTGGTGCAATATTTGTACTCTCTTAAAAACCTTCAGTTTGACATCTCTGCCAAGATGAGGCAGTGCTGAAGGAGCTTGGTGCATTTGAAATAAAAGCTGGCTTCTCATTTCTGAAATAATTTTACTTTCTAAATCAAACCAGCGTGGGCTAAAAGTGTGCGGAGAAATGCTGCTAAAATTGTTTCCACGTCATGTCAGCATGGACCTGGAAGAGCTGCTGGGCAGTGAAGGTTCCTATTCTTGCCTGCCTTCTCTGAGTTTTCTGGGTTTTGACAGCCAGGAAATCACTGTCTTCTTCCCCCATCTTCCCAACCCCTGTGAATATCTCCTCCCCAGCCCAGTCTTCCCCTCACAGGTAGCAGAAGGGTGTGAATGGATAAGCAAATTAATTTCTAGTGACAAATTTCTTTCAAATTTGTGCAAGAGTGAATGGAAGTCTGTAAAGCAGTTGTGATTTTGCTTGAGGGTTTTGCTTTGTCTAAAAATGTCTCTGTTTTCATTTCACGTTTGGAAGTCTGACTTTCATACAGTATTTCTGTAGGTGTTACCACTTCCTCAGGAACCTGTGACTCAGGCAGTGTATAAATGAAATGACATCACTGGCAACTTTTGTTTGAATTGCCTGTTTCCTAAATAGGGATTGTTGGTTTTTTTCTTTTAATACTTGCATCATTGTTTTCTGTTTTGTTTTGTTTTTTTGAGAGGAAGGGGAAACGAGGGCTTTTGATTATCTAGGACTATTGCAAGTAACCAACTGAATGTGTTTTATCCTTTTGAATCATTGAAATCAACAGTGCTCAAGTTTACTTAAAACAGGAGATTAGCATTTCTACACAAAGTATTTTATGAATGAAATCATTGTAATTATGTGTTAGCAGAGCTTCTTTTGGTACAGAGCATTCTTAATTTACTGCTGATGTGTTGAGAGGGGGACAGAGGGCAAACAAGAAGAGTCTGAGCATAACTTTCCATTATTATTTTGGAAGTAATGCAAACAAAAAACTCTGTTTTCGTACTACTGGTTGAGCTTCAGTTTTAAGTGGTTCTCCCTTGCTGCTCCCTCACTAGTGTGTACACTACAGGAGATTCTTGGTATGTTTCACTGTTTCCTTCCCTGTAACTGATATTTTTCAGTGATATCACTCCAAACATATGCAGTTAAGATGTGAAGACCCGAAGTAAAATTTACTTGTTAGCAGAGTGTCTCCAAAGCAGGCAGAAGCACTAGTTATAGCAGACATGGTACAGGGAAACCTTCAGCAGCTGTGTTTCTTCTTTGGACAAAATTCCCCATGACGTCACTTCAGGAGTTGGCTGTTAAACCGTGAAGAGTAATGTCAGGAATTATTGTCATCAGAGGAACGTGAAAAGTTGGATGTCTGTCTAGATCATTTATTCATAGTGCTGCGGGACAGGCTATAAAAGTGCTGCATTTATTTATTATTGTCATGCGCAAAGGATCACTGTTCTTTTGTTTAAATAGCAACAGCTTTGGGACTTGGTAAGACATGAATACAACACAACATTATCTGAGCACAGCAGAGTCCTTTTGGCTATGCTTTGATTTTATCAGTTCTTACCAAGTGGATGGTCACTTTGTGGTTGCACCTTAAGGCAAAACTGAAACGAGGTCTGTGTATTCAGGGAGGTGAAGTTGGTGACTACTACCATAGGTTGTGGTTTTTCTTCTGACTGTGTGATTTCATGTCAAACTTTGGCACAATTAAGAACTGCATCATTAAAGTCATCGCGCTAAAGGAAAGCACTAAACCAAAGTCTTGGGGGAAAAAAAAAAAAAAGGCTATGTTTCTTAGGGTTTTGTTTTGTTTCTAATAATGTAGATGGCCTGGTAATTGTTTTGTTTTATTTTTGGTTTTTTTTGTTTTGTGTGTGTGTCTGTGTGTACATGAGCTTTTTTTTTCTTTTACTTAATATTTCAGTCATCCTTCCCAAAGTTTCTGTTCAGTCTCCTTTGCATCCTTTATTTTCTAAATGACCTTTATGCAGGCATCCTGTATGCTGTTAATGAAAAACTCTTCCTGAAGTTCCACCCAATAGCTATTGGAGCAGTGGTTACACGTTATTATTGGTACTAAATCAGAAATGCTTTGAGATGATAGATGGTATAAATGTAACAGCATTCCAATTATTTGGTCACACAAACAAACAAAAAAAATATTTTTTTCCCCACTTTAATTAAAATATTTACCATTGAATGTCTCTTACATGCCAAATTAGGTAGTAGGTGTGGTTTTATCTGCTGTAGTAGTTAGGAATGAGTGAGCTATGCATACCCTGCCTCAGGAACCATGCAGGGCAGAAGCTGATGTATGGAAGATAGTTGGACCATTCTCACCAACTGCCTGATGCTTTTGATAGACTTGCACCCTCAGAAATCCCACAAGACATTTAATTTCTTGCTAACTTCTTAAGCAGAGGTTCTGCACTATTTAGCAAACACTGCAAGCTTAAGACAGACTTCTTTGTAACTGTTTGCTCAGATTTGAAGAGGAGGAAGAAAGTCATCTGGTGTGTGCACAGCATTTCTCTGTTGCTGGAGATATTCAAGTTTAATTTCCAACAATGGCAGATATTACATAATCTAACTTCCTGCTGCTAAGATTTGGAAATGTCATTAAGAGATTCTGATAGATAATGTCAAGGTGAACAGTGTTTAAAAAACAAGGAGCAGTGAATAATAACATACCCATTGATCTGAGATACTGGAAAAGAATGTGATTTAAAGGTCTGTGACACTGATTATATAGATGAGTATCAGGAGTAGGCTGTTTTTTTGTGGTTTTTTTTGCCATAACGGCATGCAATGGCATGTTGTTTCAGAATATGACCAAATTACTGTTTTTAAATTATTTTGTTGCTGTAATTTTAAATGATTGTGGCTTTATACATTTCTGAAGCCAAAATGTTCTGTTCCAGCTTACGTAGTATGCAGTGAGCTTTAAAGCTCTTATTATTTAAAGAAAGTTTGTCCTCTTCATAACTGTCAGAAACGTGGGAGGAAGGATTAAGACAGGACACATACACAGTGGCCACCATTTAGTTTTGGCTTCCATTTGAAGTGGGTTTCCACTTAATGACAGGGCACCACGAGTATTTTGGCAGGGATCTACCAGCTTGCCAAATATCAAATGGCTCTGTGATTGTCAGACATTTCTTTACACTGTCACACCTCTGGATATGACAGTCCCCTTTGTCAGGCACTTTTAGGACCACAAAGATGGTGAAGGACCTACAGTAAGATGTATGAGGGGATCCTAAAGTCTTCTGGTTTATCCAGCCTCAGGAGATTGAGGGGAGACCTCGTGATGGCCTACAGCTTCCTCACGAGGGGAGTGAAGTGGCAGGTGTTGATCTCTTCTCTCTAGTGACAGTGGCAGGACCTGAGAGAATGGCATGGAACTGTGAGAAGGAAGTGTCAGGCTGGGTGGTATGGAAAATTTCTTTACTAGAGGGTTATTGGGTGTGGAATAGGCTCTCCAGGTCACAGCTCCACGCTGCCAGCATTCAAGTAGCGTTTGGACAGCACTGGGACATAGGATTTGAATTTTGAGTGTCCTGTTTGGAGTTAGACTAAATGATCCCTGTAAATCCCTTCCAACTCTACGATCTTTCCCTCCCATCCATTGCCTGAGCTTGTCCTGGTAGAGTATCTTCTGTTGAGTAAGTACCTAATACACCAAGACCAACATTTGAGTCAACTAGTCAATAGAATGGCAGGTGAATAACAGATCGTACAGGTAGATCTCTTCTCTAACATTGCCTACTAAAGCTTTTTAATTTAATCAGTTTGGTCATGGAGTTAGCGAAGTTCATTTGTCTCCATCGTTGGATGCTCAAAGCCAGACATCAGTGATGTCTCAAACTGGGTTGCAGAATTCTGAAGGGACTCTGATTCCACATGTAAAGATAATCTTATACTATTAAGCATGTATTTTAAAATTTTTATGTGTGTAAAGGAGAAACAAATAAATCTATTGTTAATTTTTAAATGGCTGCTCTGTCGGTTTTATTCTTTCTTGTGTAGATGTGCTAAAAATATATATCTACTAGAGCATACTAGTAGATGTTTTGTGTAGCAATTCAGCTCCTCCTATTGAGGAGCCACAGTAGAGCATTTTTTAATTTTGTGTAAAAGGAAAAAGGAAAAGGAAGAAGTTAACTGGGTGCACTGTTTAAAAATGAGTTTCTGGTTTTGAGGCTTGTGTTTTCTGTTACCAGTCTGACTGCTAGAAGCTTTAACGGGTTGTTTTGCAGCAAGTGCATTCTGTTCCCAAATGGAATCAAATCCACATTATGCCTGGGTTGTTAGCATAGTTGGAAAGCAGAGCAATATAAATTAGCAATCCAGTCTAAGAATGGTTAGAAATAACATCTGTTCTGTTTTCCAAGGCCTGCACTCCCATTTTAAGTTTCTGTGCCCTAGAATTAGAGGTTTGGGTTCTTTTGCAAAAGGAAGGTGCGGATTGACTTGGGTAATGGAACAAAAGAATTGAGGAGCAAGAGTAGATCATAAAAAGGAAGACTGGGATAAGAATTAAACCTGTTCTTTTTTATTATTATTTTCTTTTTTAACATTTCTTTTTGAGTTTTGATTATTTATGGTAAAGGTACTATAGAGGAGATAAAAACCATTTTCATACATTTCCTGGGTGAAATACAGAGAACTGTTCATGAACCAAGTACAAGGTGTAAGCAAGTAA